ACAGTGGGGGAGTGGGGCGCTTAATTTTTGAAGTGGGATCAGTATACTATCTTTGAACTATGGTTGGGGTGATGGCATCCTTTAAAAAATCCTGGTGAGTTGTATTTTAAAGGCACACTTACAAGTACATTAGAGTATGTGACATGCATCCTTGATGATGCAAAAGATAATTTCACATGGGACCAAAGATGATTCTAGGTCGCATGTGGATCTGATTTTAGATACTATTAAACTGAATGTTACAAAAGGGGTGCCTGGGTGGCTCAGTCATTAGGCATCTGCCTTTGGCTCCAGTCATGATTCCAGGGTCCTGGGGTAAAGCCCTATATCAGGCTCCCTGCTCAGCAGGAAGTCTGCTTCTCTCTCTCTCACTTCCCCTGCTTGTGTTCCCTCTCTCACTGTGTGTGTGTCTCTCTCTGCCAAATAAAGAAATAAAATCTTAAAAAAAAAAGAAAGTATTCCCTTTCTAATTCTATTTTGAGCTATGTGATTACAGATAGAACATTTCATTTAGATGCTATCTGTCTCAAACACCTCTCTATGAGTTGGTAAACACCCTCCCCCTGACCTTTTTAAATAAAGACTAAGTTCAGAAACTCCACAGGCAGACAGTTAGTAGAGTCCAGCTAGAACTTGGTAGCCTTATTTTCTTTTTCTCCTATTTATTTTAGTGTGTCCTTTTACTTATGGTGAGTTGCATTCAGTTTTTTTAAATAAATTATTTAAGCAAATTGAGTCGATACTTAAAGAAACATGATAAGTGGATAAGAACCAAGGTGGTACAAGGTTATGGTAAAACTGTGACAGTAATACGGAAATGACGAATGTTTCCTAAACAGGGGCACTGCAGTCCAGATAGGAGAATCTGATGAAGGGATGTATAAAGTGAGATCAAACATGGACTGTGGACTTCACATTACCATCCAGTGAAGTTGCAGGGAGGCACCTGGGCTCAATGTCCAGTGTGTTAAGAGGGGGAGGGAGATTTGCCAACATTAACAGCGCACTTATTACAGGCAGACTGCTGTATGTTTTTGAGGCTAGACAGATGAATAAGATTGGGCCCCTCCTCTCAGAGTGAGTTTCCAGTTTGTCTCTAGGGGAGACAAACACGGAGATGTACATTCCTCTGTACACTGTGATAAATATTACCAACAGCTTTAAAACCCCAGGCAAAGGAAATAGGAAGAAATTCATTATATGAGTGTATGTGTGATAAGAATAGCTGCCATTTGTGGAGTATCTTCCAAGGGCCAGGGGACCTGCTAAATACTTTGTCACATTAGCTCATTTATTCCTTACAGTTAAGGAACTGAGATCGGAGAAGCTAAATAATTGTCCCATGGTTAATAATAGTGATGATGTTCGGGGTGCCTAGGTGGCTCAGTGGGTTAAGCCTCTGCCTTTGGCTCAGGTCATGATCTTAGGGTCTTGGGATCAAGCCCTGCATCAGGCTCTCTGCTCAGCAGGGAGTCTGCTTTCGCCTCTCGCCCTGCCTGCCTCTCTGCCTACTTGTGATCTCTCTCTCTCTGTCAAATAAATAAATAAAATATTAAAAAAAGTAATAGTGATGATGTTCACCACTGAGTATTTAATATATGCCCAGCACTGTGCTACATCCTATATGCACCTTAGCTCATTTAAGCCTCCTACTAGCCTAAGAAATAAATATTATCTCCCTTTTACAGATCAGGAAACCAAGACTCAGAGAGATCAGGAGACTTGCAGAGTTAGTGAATGGTGCTGTTGCAGTTTAATCCCAGAGGCGTTTGACTCCCAAACCCATTTCTTCCAGTTCTACTGCTTCCAATCAGCTGTCAGACTATAGGAACCTGATTTGGCTGTGCAGGGGGAAGGTTCACAGAGGGCTCGAGCTTCCAGGCTCGACTGGGTTTCTTTATTGAGTTTAGTACATAACAACTCTTTCTGTTTCATAACATAAGCCCCTAAACTCCTCAAGCACTAAGTCTTATGACGGTGTGAGTGGCTAATGCTGTTCCCTGAAATTATAAGGTGATGTTGACAAATGCATTTCAAAAGTAGGTAAAAGAACTGGGTGATAGGGAAGGTGGGCTATAGTTCATCTAGTTTGTGAGGGCTAGAAACTATTTCCAGTGGGAACTCACAGAATCAATGCTTGATAGAGACAAAGGGACCTTTGGGAGTATTAAATCCAATGTCCACATTTTAGAACAAGAAGAGGTTAAGGGCCAAAGTTCCCACAGCAGACAGAGGAGCCACGAGGCCACACAGCTCCCCATGTCTCAGTGCTCAGTGTGGTAGAGCAGTGGTTTTCAGAGTGTGGAAACCACACTTTCCAAGTGCTGATTTCCAGATCGGCAGCCTCAGCATTAACCCAGGAACTTGTTAGAAATGCCCACCTCAGACCCACAGATTCAAAAACTGCTGAGGAGGGGCTCAGCAAATCTGTTTTAAACAAGCCCTCGGAGGGATTCTGATACATGCTGAGGTCTGAGGAGGACTGCAAAGTATCCACTATATATGATACAGCATATGGAGGGAAAGAGCATCCCCGGAACCTCTTCTCTCTCTATTTATTCCCAGGTGAAGGGCTGAAAGGGATCAGTGGAAACAACCTCCTCATGTCTACAGCAGACTCCCGTGATACTTGAGACGAGGGGATGAGCCTACTGAACAAATGCTGAGCGAGGCTGGGGGACTCGGTGCGCTCTAGGTGAGGCTAGGCCTTGTCTGGCTGGCTGTCTATGGAGGAGATGCTGGAGGAGGGGGCTTGAGCTGCCAGAGGCAGAGAGAAAGAAATACTCTGCCAGGCTCTTGCTTACTCAGGCTCCCTTTCCCCCTCAGAGGATGCAGCCAGGACTCTAGAAGAGTCTCTTCTCCAGGCTGTCCCTCCCCATTTGTGGCTCCATTCAAAACCCTGCAATGCATTTCCCCAAAGCTCGGCCTGTAGAAGGAGGGGAGAGAGAAGGTTGCAAAGATGTATGGAAGGCTGAAGATTTTTTTTTTTTTTTTTTTTTTTTAAGATTTTATTTACGGGGCGCCTGGGTGGCTCAGTGGGTTAAGCCTCTGCCTTCGGCTCAGGTCATGGTCTCAGGGTCCTGGGATCGAGCCCCGCATAGGGCTCTCTGCTCAGCCGGGAGCCTGCTTGTGATCTCTGTCTGTGAAATAAATAAATAAAATCTTTTTTTTTTTTAATTTACTAATTTGACAGACAGATCACTAGTAGGCAGAGAGGCAGGCAGAGAGAGAGAGGAAGGGAAGCAGGCTCCCGGCTGAGCAGAGAGCCCAATGCGACTCCGGGCTCAATCCCAGGACCCTGGGATCCTGGGATCGTGACCTGAGCTGAATCCAGAGGCTTTAACCCACTGAGCCACCCAGGTGCCCCAAGACTGAAGATATTTTATTCTGAAGGGATGCTTTTTATCTGAGGTGGGGAAATAATAGAAACTGATGTGCACTGAGGATGGACTAGAGGTTTAGGGGCTGGCAGTTATCACACTTTCGCCAGTAGGAAATGAAGGCTGTGAGGAACGGCTGGGTGAGTAGGAACAGATTTAAGAGAATATGGAGTGGGACTCCATGTGGCGCTGGATCCCGGGACTCGGATCATGACCTGAGCTGAAGGCAGACGCTCAACGGCTAAGCCACCCAGGTGCCACTCTGCCTGCTTGTATTGCCTCTCTCTCTCTCTCTCTCTCTCTCTTTCTCTCGCTGTCTCTGTCAAATAAATAAAATCTTAGAGAGAGAGAGAGAGACTATAGAGTGGGATACGCAGGGGAGAGGAGGGAAGATAGCACCCTTTGGACTTGGTGAGTTGTAACTGTAGTGCCAACATCCTGGGCCCTGCCTGAGGTCCTGAAATCAGCTGGCTCAAGAACTTGAGCACAGGTGAGTGATCACCCCCTCCTTCCTTCTTCGGTAAGGAGCTTGGTCTTTGGAGTCAGGCCGGTGAGGGTTCAAACCGCCGGCTGAACTGTGTGTTCCACCAGGGCAAGACTCCGCCTCTTTGGTTTACAGCTATGTGCCAAGCGCCTAAAACAGTGTCGGGAACATGGTAGGCGCTCAACACACATTTGTTGAATGAATGGCGACACGCCAAGCCTCCTTTCCTCATCTGTGAATACTCTATCTGGACCGGTTGTTGCACAAGGAAATCGCCTAGCCCCGAACTTGACGCACAGTAGGCGATCAACAAGTTGTATTTTTCCTTTTCCTCACCAGTAGACGGGGTCCGCAGGCGATGGCAAGAGAAGGGTCTGTGTCCCCGCGCCCCTGCAGCCCCCGCTGGGTGGTGCGGGGCACGTGGGCCCAGAGGGCGGGGTGGGAGCGGAGCGGCGGGGAGGGGAGGGGGCGCCGGCCGGCTACTCGCGCAGAGCGGGTCTCCCCGGCTTACGTAAGGCGCGAGTCCGGCGCGGCCGGCTGGGGCTCGGAGTGGGGGCGGGCGGAGGCGGCGCCGCCCAGCGGGATCCGGGCTGGAAGCCTAGCGGAGCGCCGCGTCCCGCCTAGGTGCGTGTTTATTTGATTGCTTCGGGTGGAGAAGCGGCCGGACTCGGGCTCCCCGGGGCAGGGAGCGCCTCGGCCCAATCTCGGCGGAGGTGGGCGCTGGGCGGTCAGCGCGGGCGGCGGGCGGCGGAGACTCCGGAGGACTGACAGCCGCTGGGGAGGGGCCGCGGCGCAGACTCCGCGCTGCCCATGTGCGAGGGCCGGGGCAAGGGCTCAGCCCCCTGGCCGCCCGGTGCGTGGGGCGACGGGGCACGCGCGTGGAGTCACCGCCCCTCCCGGCTTCCCCCTCGGTGGAGCCTGGCGCTGGGATGCCAGGCCGCCTAGCCCCTTCCTCGAACGCCGCGTGGGGAGCGAAAGAGGAAAGGCTGGAGGTGGGCCTGGCCGGGCGGCCCTCTGAGCCCCCGAGGTCGACCCCGCCTGGGGCGGGGACTCGGAACTCCTACGGAATCGCGGCGTGGGGGCGAGGAGGGCGGGGATGGGTAGCGTGGCGCCTTTCTCCGCCTTCGAGCCGGCCCCGGCGCGGGGCTGAAGGGAGGGGTTGTCTTCAAAAGTCACTCCTTCCCCCTGCAGGGGCGCCCGGCGAGTCCCCGCGCGAGCGGAGAGTGTCGGAGGCAGAAGGAGCAGCAGCAGCAACAAAGTTCCCGGGGCTTCTCCGAGGCTGCTGTCCGGGTTGCCTGTTTGGCCGCCCCCTCCCTTGCCTGGCGAAGGCAATGGCTTCCAAACTCCTGCGCGCGGTCATCCTTGGGCCGCCTGGCTCGGGCAAAGGCACCGTGTGCCAGAGGATCGCTCAGAGCTTTGGCCTCCAACATCTCTCCAGCGGCCACTTCTTGCGGGAGAACATCAAAGCGAACACCGGTGAGGGGTGGAGGGTGTGGGGGCGAGGGGCGGGGGAGATCCGTTGCGGGGTCGGGTTAGGTCGGGTCTCCTAGGTCCCCGGGCGCCCTTCCCCCGCCCGCGTGCGGTCGTGCAGGCTCGTACGTGCCTGGGAGCATGCAAACGGTGGCCCACGGCCGTGCGGCTTAACCGCGCCCCTGGAGGAGGCCGAGGCCAGCTGGGAGGAGGGTGGGAGGTGCTCCGGGCTCCTCCAGTCTTAGGGAAAAGCCGGTAACCACTCAGACAGCCGAAAAACCCGAGCTTCCCGCTCGCCCTGCCTCTTTATGGCAAAGCTCTCTGTGCCCACACCTTCCCCGCGCCCCCTGCTCTGGCCGCCCACCTGTGGGAGTCGGGTCCCGCTGTGCGCTGGGGAGCCTGTGGCGCTGCGGGTCTCGCAGCCGCGCGCTATTCCTGCCCCTCCGCGCCGCCCCGGGGCCTCCGGACAGAGCCCTGGTGGCTTTGCAAGGCCTGTCTGTCCGCGGACGCCTTCTAAGGTAAACTCTCACCACGAACTCCCCCTCCTTCCCAAGCCGGGGCCTGGCCGTTGGGAGACTACGTAGTAGGAGGCTCGATCTGATAAATTACCTTTTAAATCCTGCTTCCCTGGAAATGGCTTCTTGAGAAAGTATCCCTTGACTGGCGTCGTGGATTTGGGGATGTAGATCGCCTGATCCTTTCGTCTTTCAGTAGGGCCCTTCACTCCTCTCCTTCCACCCCACGTCCACCCCAGTTCCTGATGAACTGGCATTAAAAGGCGCGAGGTGGCTGTTGGCGCTTCTAGTGCGTAACCCTTCTGGGATGCATGTGCTCATAATTAGCAACTCCTTTACGAAAACTTGTTAACCACAGACGGGGTGCTGAACCTTCGCTGCTGTCCTTGGAGGTGACCAGGGTGGTTATTGCTCATTCGTGGGCTAATTATCCAGAGATCTTCATTACAGAAGCACAGATTAGTTTGAAGAGGTGGGCGGAGGGCTGTGCTGGAAAACGGCATAGAAGCTAGGAATTAAGAAACATCTCCAAGGCAGAATTTTATTCATTATCTCTTAAGCTATTGCAAAAAGCAAGTTTTTATTTTGATTCTCAGAAAGACTGGGCCTCTTCTCCCTCCCCTCCCCAGCCTCTGACGGTGTAGAGTTCCGTGTACCTGGTGGTACCTTGAATTTTTTCTCACCTCAAATGGGTCTATTTTAATTTTAATACCACCTTTAGCTGCATTTTATTCTTTTTGTTTTGGAATGCAGTTTGGGGGAAGAGCAGTGTGAGAGGGAAGGCTGGCTCTCAGCCGGAGGGTTTTGTGATTGGCTCCGGTTTCTCTGTGGTAGTGAGCCGGAGGCAAGGTGAGGGGAGGAAACGATGCAATGGTTTTGAGCCCATTCCTTAGCATTTTTCATACCTGCCTTGGGAACTGGTTTCCTTCTGGCATGAAGGACTGCACCTTGTCCATCCCAGACTGGATTAGTGGTGCCCTTCCCATTTTTAAAGTGAATGTGATGGGAAGTAGCTTACTTCTGAACTTTCTTAGAGGTTTTGAAGACTTTCCAGATGTTTTCCCTTATTCTCACTTTTTACAAAATTTTTTCTTAACTTTCCTTGTTTTTTTGGATTTTAGTTTCTGTTCCCTTTCACATGCCTTCATTGTTCCCAGAGTTTCTCTCTGCTGTAAGACTGTGACTGTTTAGATTTTGTTTTTCTCTTGGGAGCTAAGTAGTTTTTGCATAAACCAATTTAAAAACCGCTTATCTGCTAAAGAGAAGAAAAATGGAGGGCAGCAATTTCTTTTCAAAGTGGCTTGTGTCTGGTGGACTTGGAGGGTGTTCTCAGATTATTTTTCTCACAGAAAGTTGGTTCTAAGAGTCTTCAGGCTCAGTGCCTGGTAAATAAAACATTCCACGGTCTATTTTTCTGTTACCTGCTGTTAGCTTTTAGCTGATTTTCTGGTAGAGAAATACAACAGCCCCTCTCTAGGTGCCCCTTTATTAGAGTTGAAGGTTTGAAGGAGCACATGAAGCACAACAAAACCCCAGGAAATAAAATGTTGGTGGGAACTTGAGTTGGAAAGTATCTCAGGCCATCTGCTCCAACCTTGCTTCCAGCATACTCCTGTCCACACGGCTTTCCTGCAGCCACTGCCTTCTGAAAAGCTGCTCATCCAGGGAAGGAAGGGCTACTCCCCGCTTCTAGGAAGTCTTCCCTTATCTGCCCTGACAGAATTCATTTCTTTACCCTGCACCTAGCTTGATGATGCTGTCACATGCCGTGTGGCAAAAGTCTGTCTGATTCATCACGTAGATACTTAAACCAAGTACCTGTTATGTGTGGGACAGTGTTCAAGGTACTTAGGGCTGTAGCAGTATTTAAGATAATCCTGTGCCCCTTGTTGTCCCTTCTACCTTCACTGTGTTCCAGTTCCCACTAAAAGAGACTTCAAGGTCAGGGATATGGATGGCAAAGTACCTGGTGCCTAAAGAGAGTTCAGCAAGTCTGTGTTGAAGGCAGAATAGAAGTCAGATAACCTTCAGTAATTGAGTCCATTCTGGTTAATTAGCCTTGAGTTGTGGTAAAAGTTTGTGTTTACTATGGATCTGAGATTAGCCTAAGATAGTTGTCACTCATTGGCTCTGCCTCATCTGCCCGGAGCAGTACTGCTGAGACTTAATCAAAGACTTTATTTTTTTTGAAGGGTGTTGATCCGGATGCCTGGATGGCTCAGTCAGTTAAGTGTCTGCCTTCTGCTCAGGTCATGATCCCAGGATCCGGGGATCAAGCCCCACATCGGGCTCCCTGCCCAACAGGGAGTCTGCTGCTCCCCCTCATTTTCCCTCTGTGTGTATGCCTGCAGGCGCTCTCCCTCTCAAATAAAATCTAAAAAAAAAAAAAGACCCACACCCAAATCTTTGGTTCTCTTTGGTTTTCTTTAGTACTTTGCACAAGTAAATAGAAGGGATAGTTTTCATAGATTGCCAGGAGGGGGGTCCTACACTGTGTTAAAAGGAATGTTAACTTTTCTGTGTATGCCGTGCGTGTGTATAAGCATGTACATGTACACACGGGCCGACACTTAGTAGTGAGTCCTAGTAAAACTCCTTATCTCTTCTGTTGAGTGATGGTGACTAAAACCTCCCTCTGAAAGGATGTGAGAATCCTGCTATAGGGGTTGGACAAATACTGGCTTTTTTTTAAAAAAAATCACATTATTCTGTACTGGATCTACTCTCTCAAGTGTAGGAAAATTGGCAGATTTCCATTTGGAAGCATCCTGAACTTGATTGGGAGATACAATGTTCAAGAACAAACCTGTTTCTGCTCTTAATATTAACTGCAGCGCTTGCTGGGGTTTGCAGATGGGACCAGCATTTCAAATTAGACTATGGCCTGAGCCTCTTTTCTTTGAAAAGATGACCTAGTTCAGAGGGCTCAGGTTTTTGTTTTGGGGTTCTTTTGTGTGTGTGTGTGTGTGTGTGTGTGTGTGTGTGTGTGTATAAATGTGTCTTTTCTTATGTAAGAGTAAAAACTTCTGAGCGTTGGAAGATAGAAAGGTTGTATTTGGGAGACTTGACAGAGTTGAACAAGGTATCTAAAATAACTTTAAATAGTTAACCTTTGTGTGGATCATAGAGTGTCTTGGCATATTACAGGATTTCTAGAATATTCTCTGTTCCATTTTTTTTTTTAAGGTTGGTATAGCCCAGGTCAAGGCATTGAGGGAGCAGAAGGCTAACTGAAGACAAAGCACATTCTGGCACCCTGACACCCCCTCCCAACCCCGGGTGGGACAAGTGTGACATTCTTCCAGGAATTTCCCAACTGTCTTAATGTTAATACCTTGCTAGAGGGAAAACAATCTTCATGGTCTCTGGGGTCTTGTAGTTATCTTATATAGGTTGGTCGGTCCTCTTTAGCATATGAAAGTTCTTTTAAAACCCAACTCCTGAGAGTATAAAATCCCCACTCCTCAAGATCCTGGTTCAGCCCCTCTTTGTGCCAGGGCTCCTGTCCTGTCCTCATGCTTTAATAAACGACCCTTTTGCACCAAAGGCATCTCAAGAATTCTTCAAGAATTCTTGGTGGTTGGTTCAAACCTCACCTGTATTCCAAAACCGTATCAAAGGGTCTGACCAGGTAGGGGCATCTCTTGTTTCTACGGGTCTGCTCTACAACTTATTTTTTCTGGCTTCTTTGAGGGTTTTTATGGGTGTTGGAAGAGAACTATTTGTAACATTTTTTTTTTTTTTAGATTTTATTTGAGAGAGAGCATAAGCAGGGAGGGAGGCAGAGGGAAGCAGACTCCCTGCTGAGCAGGAAGCGGGATGTACTGTCCCCTGAGGGTACATTTGCTTTGGCCACATGCACAGCCGAATCTGAGCATTCTTCCAGTGTGGTCATTTCTTTTTTTTTCTTTTAAGATTATTTGTTTGAGAGAGAGCACGAGTGCGAACACCCACACACAGGTACTGGTGTGAGCACAAACGGGAGGGGGCAGAGGGAGAGACAGAAGCAGACTGCCTGCTGAGCAGGGAGTCCTCTGCAGGGCTCAATCCCAGCACCCTGGGATCATGACCTGAGTTGAAGGCAGACACTTAACTGACTGAGCCACCAGATGCTGCCAGTGTGGTCATTGTTTAAATGACCTAGATTGGAGTCCTGCCTTGTAGAAAATTTGGAAAGTGTGAATTGGATTGGATTTTAGGGCACTGAAAAGTTATTCAAGGTTTTGAATAGGGTACTGACACGAATGGATTTACTTTCTAAAAGTTGACGTTTGGGATGCTGTGTGAAATGACTCCCGTTAAACAGGAGTGGTACCAGTAAGACCAGTATAGACTAGGAAAGTGGACCATGGCTTGGGTTGGGCAGTAGTGGTGAAGACAGAAATGAAGGACTTTAGGAAGTGTATGAAGGCCAAGCTGACTGGACAGAGTGAGTTGCTTGGGAGGGGTGATGGAGAGAAAGCAGCCCACAATCAGCCCTAGGATTTTTTG